CGTTAGACATCACAGCAGTGACACAAGGTTTATATTTTTTAACAAACTGTCAGTCTCTGACCTGCTGACCTCTGACAGGTTCCTGACATGAGCTGAAGTGGACGGTCCAGGGCTCAGAATGTAAGGACTAAAATGTAAAACATAATCATTTGTTATCTTTTTAAAGGTTATTAGTTGGAGATTGATCACGAAAAATATAAAGTTTAAAAATCCCAGTAAAACCCACGGACAGATGAGATGAACTCCTGCAGACTGGTGACCTTTGACTCACCACGACTGGTCCAGTTAAAACACTGCAGCTCTGTTGATTTCTAACTGAATCGATAGCCTGTAATGTTTGCAGCATCTTAATCACTTGACTGCAGCAGCTGGGTGTTAGTTTACAGGTCATGTCAGGCTCTGAGGTGACGTCAACCCTGCTTCGTGCTCCAGTTACTTTATTATGCATATAAAATAAAGTATATACAGTAAAGAAGACACCATCACTGACCTGCAGTAAATGAAGTCGAGTTTAAAGGACAAGAGTTTCTTTTCTTTTTTTTTAGAACATTTGGAGTTCATTCCCTCCAGAACTGCCTTTCCTCCCGCTGACGCACCGTTAAATTAGCCTAGCGGTGCATCATCAGTAACGCTCACGGACCGTGATGAGGGTGAGGGTGAGGGTGAGGGTTCTACTTTTATATAAATACGTTATGCTCAGAAATCAGATCAGGAAACAAAGCCGATCCAACAGGAACTGGGATCAAACCCACAGATTCACACCAAGTGAGGGAGTAGGGGCAGGAGGGCAAATAGGTCTGCCTGGGGGTAAAGAACGCGGGTCCGGTGGGCGGCGTGGGTTTGTGTATTTAGGATGATCTTGTCCTGGTCTCAGTGATGACTGTCACGTGACCTGTGTGGAATAAAACACAGACTGGTTGGTTTGAGGTTTGTTTTTTTTGGGCCAGTGCTTCTTCATAGACGACGTGGTGAAACAGTCCAAGTTCAAACAAGTCTCAGTGGCGCCCCCCAGTGTTTAGATCTGGAGAATCCATCAAAAAAAGTATTTAAACCGTGTCCAGTGGTAAAGAAGAACAGAGTTGGTTCCCACAAAGTGAAGTCATTGATGAAGCACCAACCATATGGTGTTTGTAGGTGATTAATGGAAGCGTGCTGCTCTGGAACCGATCCACGAAGAAAGACTGACATTAACGATGACGAAGAGTAAAATCCTGCCCGTTATTAACATGCAACTAAACACCAGCTGTGTCGGGTGTGAAGAAAGGTCGGCTGTGGGAACACAAATGCAAATATTGCAGAATTCCTACCCCTAATTAAGATGTTAATACAAATAGATTCACAGTTTTTAGTTTTCATTTATGGAAGGACTTGTCGTAGCTGAAAGAACGCTGACACAGGGTCAGATTTACTTTGTTTAAATTTCTGTGTGGTTGAAATAATAGTAACTGAACGCGCGATGGGGGGGGGTGGGGGGGGGGGGGGGGGGGGGGGTAAACTTGAAAGTGTCCTCATCGTTCAACAATTTAGTTTTTTATTAAACTCCATATTTTTCTTCTGTTTTAGAGCTTCTGTCTTCACTGGTTACCACAGTGGAGCTTCTCATCTCCTGTGTCACCTCCTCCATCATTTCTTCATCACTTCCTGCTTCTTTGAGATCTTCATCCTCAGCTCCTGCCTGGCAGCTCCATCTCCAACGTCATTTTGTCTCTCTCTCCAAGTTTCCACTTCTTTTCAGGTTATGTCCAAATCTTCTCCACCTCCTTGTCTAAATTCTGCTCCTGCACCTGAGCCTGGTCTTCTGATCTGCTCAGTTCTAATCCCGTCCATCCTGGTCGCTCAGATTAGAAATCTCAGCATCTTCAACTCCTCAGACAGTGGAACCAACTCTCTGTGTTAAAAGAGGCTTTAAGAAATCTAAGAGGAACAGCTCCTGGCTGTGTCCTCCTCCCTGGTCAGTGGATTAAACACTTGTGTGTGATTTGGCTCAGGATTTAACGCCCGATGGCCCACCTGGTTTGACTCCCCCCCCATCTCTAATTAATCCAGGCCTGGCTCTGGTAGAACACAGACTGTGACTTCCTGTGGCAGGAGTCTGATGAGCAATTTAGGATTAGGATGATGGATTTTTTTTCTCACAGATACATCAGAAAACAGATGGAATTGAATCCCTGACGGCCTGGTTGGATGATGACCCCTCACACAGTGACTGGTCCAAGTCACCCCCCTGCCCCCCCACATTTGGCTGAGGTTGATTCACAGGATGGTTTTGTAGCAGCACACGTTCCATCTTTGTGAGTCGGGGACTGGCACTGAATGAAACTGGTCCCTGGACCCTGACCCTGACCCTGACCTTGGACCCTGACCTGACTTTAAATCCTTGAGTTGACTCAGAATTCACTTTGAAGTTTCCCAGGTGAGAGAAAGAGTAGTAGAGCCCCTGGTGGCTAAATTGAGAACAGCACTCAGTTGTAATTTAGCCCCATTGTCCCAGAGAGATTGTTGTGTGACAACAGAACATGTGCCAATAAAAAAAACATAAAGGACATAAACTTGCTGAGATGAAATGATGACACCTCTGTGTTGTTGTGTTATCAAACATCTGGGCTGCTGTAAGGTCAGGGAGCCGATGATCTGAAAGGTCAACAGATAAAATGAGGGTTTTGTCGATTGCTGTAAAACCTGGTGATGAAAACATTTAACATTTCATTTTGTCCTTCTTGTAAAACCCCAGAATTTATGAGTCATGATCTACAGCAAGGCTGAACAGCTCAGGAAAGATCCTTCAGATTGTTGGTGCATGTGAAAAAAAGGGATTTTTTTTATGAGAGGGTTGCAGGTTCAAAGCCCACCTCAGCAGCATTTAGTGTGTTCCCTCACTCCACAGTTGGTCATTAAAGCGATCGACGCCTCCTAGGAATAAGTTGATGAGCCAGGACTCATTCAATGACTTTGTGTTGAAGTGACTGTGAACAAATGAGAGAAAATGACAAAAAATAAAAACATCAGGTAATTAGAAAACCCCTGGTGGAACAACATTCGGATGGAAACCATGGGGGTGAGCGGGCACCACAGCCACCACCACAAGCAGCAGCAGCAGCAGCAGCAGCAGCAGCAGCAGCAGCACGGATGAATATTAATGGGAATTTGATTAAACATTCCCACGTCTTCAATCTCCCACAGGCGAAGCTTTCACCAAACAAAATAAATGAGTCCGGCCATTTTCATTATCCTGGTGTTGTTTTCCCAGAGCCTCCTCTTAACGTCTGATGAGATCTGAACAACAGATGTTTGAAAGGACAAAGACGGCGTTAGACGACTTCAGGTCCCTCTGGCAGACTTTCATCTGATGTTCTCATCCACATCTTTAACTGCCAGTTTATAATCAGCAAGATATTTAAAGACCTCCGCTCCATTTGTTCTGGGAACATGTTTTTAATTTCTTGGTTTTTCCAGTCTTGTAAACAGAAGCCGTGCTGGTAACAGCTGACGGATGTTTACGTGATATAAATAACCGACAGATCCAACCAACGGGAGACGTGTCTGCTCCTGATGGCCGTTCAGATGGTGGACCACATATGCAGGACAAGAAGCTTTGTGTTTGCCAAAAGCAAACATATATTTTCCCTCTAAAAGCCAACACTGAAGTAGTAGGAGCATCTGATAAAACAATAATCAATAATAATCACAGCTCTAATATGAGGTCAATGCACATGATGTTTATCTATTTATACGAATTGTGGGGGAAAAAAAAGTTTTTGTTCCACTGCAGTACGTCAAGATTTGGAAATCCTTGAGTCACATCTGTCTGTTCTCCTCCCTGATCTACAGACACTACATCAGCCTCCACACCAGTACCAGTACAGTAGCCCAGAGCTTCTCACTCGGCTGTTGTTTGAAGGCAGATCAGTCCACTGCCCCCCCCCCCCCCCACCACCACCACCACCAAACAATGCCCCACATTGACTTGACTCCATCTATAAATAGTTCTACTTGGCTTCATTTTCTTTCACCGTGGCTGTTGTTCTACCCTGTAGTGTGGCCTGCGATACAGCTGGTTCTGCTGCTGGTTCTGCTGCTGGTTCTGCTGCTGGTTCTGCTGCTGGTTCTGGCTCACTTACTGGATCAAATCAAACTGAGACATGAGTTACTTCTGCCAGACAAAGCTGCAGGAAGTGCAATGAACATCTGTGGACCACAGGGGGGAAATCAAAGATGATAATTGACCTGTCCTGGGGGGGACAGAGACGGACGTTTTTCATAAAGGTTCATAGGACACATACAAATCAGTGAGTAATTAGATTCTGAGGGTCACATCAACACCAACGTAAACTGCTGTGAATGAAGTCCATGTATCAGTGTTTTCAGCAGCGTGTCCTTGATATTTATGATTATTACTTATCACTGCGTCTCATTAGTTCTGGGGTTTGTTGACTGTTTTATTGAGTAATTTTTATTCCAGGTTGTTCTGTGACTGCCGTGATCTGATAAATTATTCACTCTTGTTGTGTTACGGCTGCTGCTCTGTGCACTCACACATTAAAAATGTGCACAAAATAATCTCATAGTCAAGGCTGCGTTGATCTGGAAATGTCTGAAATGGTGGATGAATTTTTTTTTTCTGTCAGGGGTTTTGGATTTAAACACTTTAAAACAATCGACAAATACAGAACTCTGTGCTGACTGTATCAGTCAAACCACAGGAGTCAAAAAAGGATTTCATATTTGAACAGACCGTAGAACACTACACGTCATCTTTGACAATAACGCCCTCTAGTGGCTAGGTTAGGGATATATTATCTCCATATCTGCGGTGTTATAAATATTATTATTATAAAATGGTCCCTTAATTTTATACCAATTATTAATGTATTGGGTCACTAATCTGGATCAGAACAGTCATCATATAAAAATCCATTCCAACCCACATTCACACCAGCGGTCGAATAAATGTGAATAATTCATTCCGCAGTCACCACTGCGCCACCGTGTGGCCCAGGAAAGACTTTAAAAGATTTTAAAAGCTCGTCATGAAGTGTCAGTGGGAACAAAACACATTATTTGTCCAAAAACCTAATCTGACATTTTTCTGGAGTGGTGGTCGTGGGGATAATTTACCTGTGATGAATCAGCCGTGGAGAAAAACCAGTGTCTGCTGCCGATGATTGGACTTTTCCTCGTTTAAAAAGTATGTACTTCCACGACTCGTCTCTTCTGCTCCCGTCTGGTTTCCATGGGGATCTTTTGCCACCTAGAGGCTGAGAAGTGGGAGCTACTGCAAAATGTATGAGTGCTCATTACAACATGACAAATAGCGCAATTATCTGGTTCATTATGACATTCAACACCATCCATCATCCTCATCCTCCTCCTCATCATCATCATCATCCTGCTGCTGCTGCTGAGACCTCACATCATCATCATCATCCTGCTGCTGCTGAGACCTCAGTTCAAACTTGACCTAAATGAACATAAATAGAAAACATTGATCTCTTCACATGTGAAAACATCAATGTTTTATGGGCAGAATTGGAGTATATAGCACCACCTGCAGATTAAAAAGTGTTACTAAGTTTTTGTTTAGTATATTGCAGTGTCACTATGTGGATCTGATTTGATTTAGATCTATATAATCTCAACTAATTTGTTTTATCAATGGTCTTCATCAATTAATAAAATTGTTATTTCAACATATTTTATAAAATAATTAGAACTTTATTATAGTCCTTAAAATATATTCAAGATTAAATATAAGCATATATATATATGTAGACATGTTTCACACCAACGATCAGTCTGAGGAAGAAAATTTAAAAAACCAAACTTAGGAAAAACTACATATTTATTCAAGGCTCTGTGGTGTTAATCAAACACCAGTTAAATGTCAGACCTACCTGAGCATCTCCATCCAATAATGATCACAGTGTTCATTCATTAACACCACATTTAATCCGTTCTTGAAGCCCCCGACTCTCGGCAGCGGTGGGCTGCACTTATTTACCACATGTTGTGATTCCAGCTCGGCGCCAGATTTGAACGAGCAACACCTCGATGTTAAACCAGTCCTTTAGTCCCCGTCACCGCTACAGTCGGCCTCCGGGGCCTGTGTTACGATGTCATGGTGATCCAAATATCTGAGGAACATTATTATTAATGTCGAACTAAATGTCTCGAAGAATCCAGGCGGGTTGTGTACCTAATGATTTGGTCGTTTCTACGGGATAACTGCCTTATATTTGGCCCCACCTTTTCCTCAGCCAAACTTTGTTAAGTTTTAGGTGTTTTTCTTGTGACTCAACTTCAACAGTGCCGTCTGTCACTCCTCTTCCTCCATCTCCTCCTCCTCCTCCTCCACTGAGTCCTCAGAGCTGTGTACCACTGCAGCACTGAGAACGTGGAGCTCCCCTGAACCAACCAGAAGTCTCTCTGACAGGACACACACAAACTGTGGGTCAGTTTCAAGTCACCACTGTGTAAATGTTAGGATTCAATTATAACAAGAGCAGCAGCAGCAGCAGCAGCAGCAGCCTGTGACTGGGGTGGACTCACTTCTTACCGTCTGCAGGTGGTTGGACTCTGCTGCCCCTCCCTGGTGGCTCCTGTTGTTCTCTCAGAGCTGCAGAGTTCAGTACAGTCTCAGTGTGAACAGCTGCACACACACTTGTCAGCTCCTGCTCAGGGACCGTGGCCTGAAAGGGATTCAGGACAAATGAGGTCATGAGGAGGAGTGTAGGAGACGCACCACATTTGTCACCACTGTCATTTACTTTAAACAAACCTTTACTTGCTGTAGATGTTTGTCCTTCACCGTCCTCTTCTCTGAATCCTGAACTTCCCTCCTGGTGTTTGCGCTCCTGAAATACTGACTCTCGGCGGCGCCATCCTGCTTCTTCGCCACGTCTCTCTCAAAGTGCCGCAATGACATAACTGCGGGACGAGACATGGACGAGCCGACGGCCATTAGGGAATGTTACTATACTCAGTGTAAACAGCTCACGTCTTATTAGTTTACAGTCTGTGCTGCAGAAACGACTGCAGACTGTGAGTGAATCCTGATACCTGCTCTGCTGTGTCCTCGTCTGGCTGCTCTGACCTCAGCCTCCATCTCTCTCAGCTTCTCAGCACAGCGGCCCTCGGTCTCAGACAACCGCTGCTGCAGGACTGGGGAGGGGGGTCATGGGACAGGGGAGGGTGGAAGGTTAATTCAACATTCTTTAATACAGTATCTGACTGAGTCATATGTCGGGGGACGATCTGGGTTTTTATTACATTCTTTTTGCCTTCAGTATTTCCAAACATTTGTTTTTTTCTCTTGTCTTACATTATAGAATTTTTGGAATTATTGATCAAAATGAGGACAGAGATCTGATTTGTAATATCTGGCAAAGTTGATGCAGAGCTGGAGCCAATCTCCCAGCAGTCATAGGGTGAGGGTGGGGTCACAGTCAATAGAACCAATAACCCGTATCTGCATGTTTTTGAGATGCAGGATGAAACCCTGGAGAAAACCCAGACACTGCCTTGCATGAAAAGTATCATCAGGGTTAGTGCTTTGGGCAAAATACACTTGAACGGCAACAAAGTGAGCAACTTTGGGGTTAAAAGTGTGAGACAAGACGGAGCTAAGGAGCCAGATACGGTCCCACAGGGACGACAGTCAAGGTGCTCTTGAGTTTGTCACTTAATCCCCCACTGCTCCAGAGAACCCACCCAGCAGGGGCGAGTCAGGTGTCAGCCCGATCCCATGTGTGAATGTGTGGAGTCGGCACTGAAGGGCGTTTCAAAAACATACCGTCCTCTCTGCTGATGATTCAAGGCTGTGGAAGCAGCGGTGCAGTCTTAAGAAACGTCTCATGTCTTACTCTGCTCACTCTGCTCCTGCTGCAGGATCAGCTCCGAGCCCAGTTTCTCCACGCTGACCTCGCTCTCCTCCAGCCGGGCCTGGATCTGCTGCAGGCTCTGCTCGGCCTTCTGCCTGTCAGTCCAACTCTGCTCCAGATCCTGCTGCTGCTGCCTGCACTTGCTTTCATCTGAGGAGGACATACAGAGTGAACTCCAAACACACACACGTACACACACATCGGCGGGTCATAGACCACAGATCATCATGAATCGTGAGGACGCTCACACTGTTCTTTCAGATCGGCCAGAGCTTTCTGGATGAGCTGCGGGGTTCTTTTCAGCTCTTGCGCGAGCTCGTCTCTCTCCTCACACACCAGGCTGAGCTGCGTCTGGAGGTTTGTCAGGCTGTGGGGGCATGAAGACGAGACGGCAGAGGAAACCAAAGAGGAAAACAAGACGGCAGAGGAAACCAAAGAGAAAAAACAAGAGAGAGAGAGTTTTCTACCCCGTGTAACCACCACTACAGCTGCTTTATTGTGATAAACCGATGCTGTCCAAGTAGTAGCGTCGTATAAACATAACAATATTGATTACACCACTCAATACATGTTGTTCTTCAAACAAGGCTGTAACAGATATGTCTGTGTTTGACCGCAGTACTGAGGTGTGAAGTTCAGTTACTGTGGAAACTGCATCAGTGACAATTCTGCAACAATGATGAAAGAGCTGCAGAGGAAGTGCTTTAACTGTTGGAGTTAAATGTCAACAGAATTGATTCTCTACGTGTGAAACGACTCAGGATTTCATTTAAAAACTTTTAATCATTTTTTAATGAAACCTGCACCTCATCATAAATTTTCATTTTCAAACGT